TTTGGGGGGGGGGGAACTTGCTTGAGTTTCGCTGTCACTTTTGATTCATTTAGCCTCTAGTTTTTTGGCTTAGCAAGTAATTTAGGAATAGAGGGAAGACAACATGTCAGGAGGCTCCTTTAAGATTCTTCCCTCAGATCGTTCTAAATAAGCAGTCTGTTTCTTGGAGAATCGATTATCTATATGAGCATATCTTTTGTTTGGTAAAAAGTGACCAGTATTTTATCTGCATCATCCTGAATTACATTTCTAGTTTTGGCATGAAATTCGGTAATGTTTGCTTCTCTGGATGTTAATTTATTGTGGTAATCACTTCTACTCTCTTTTCTGGATTTTAGGATATTACTCAGACCAAGGATGGGAACATGATGGTCACAGGACAGTGGTTTTACAGACCCGAGGAAGCTCAAAGAAAAAATGGTGGAAATTGGCAATCACGAGACACGAGGGAATTGTTCTATAGTTTTCATAGGGACGAAGTTCCCGCAGAGTCGGTCATGCACAAGTGTGTGGTGCACTTCATACCATTAAACAAGCAGATTCCAGGCCGGAAAGAGCATCCTGGTTTTATTGTTCAAAAGGTATATGACACTGAGCAGATGAAGCTTTTCAAGTTAACAGACAAGGATTATGAAGATACCAAACAGCAGGAAATTGATCTGCTTGTTCATAAGACTATTGCACGAGTTGGGCATCTTCCTGACATTGAAACTGAGGATAATTCTGCAGCTCCTGTTAGTCAGGAAGACCAATTGAAGAGTAAACGACTTTTGAGGAAGAAGAGCATGACGCCTTTGGATGTCACCAGAGAAGATGAAGCACCAACTAGATTTGGTCAATCTAAAGCAGAAACTCCAGGCAGTTGTCCCAATAATACATCAGAATACTTCATCATCCTTTCAAACTTCAATGTCCTAACTGGTGAAACACAGCGTGACAAATGGCTGGAAAAACTGCTGCAGTCAATTCAGTTTTTGTGCAATCCTGTGGATAATGTACAAAATGATGGTAAAGAAAAAGGGGGCTCAGATGTTACTGATTTTACTGGTAATGCCGGTTCTGCAAAGCATGTGAATGAGTCTCTAGACGATGGTGCCAATGTAAGAATTCACTTTCCAATGATTTTGATGATTGACAGAATTTATGTATAGAATGCTAGTCTCTATTCAGATTTTCCTTGAAGTGTTTGTTCTCTTGGATTAAATTCAGGGTGATAAGTTTCGATGGCCAGACAGTGCTGTCCCTGCTGTAGTCGCTCTGGAGAAAGCTGCACACGAGGCTCTCTCATGTGATTTTCAGAAGTACAATCAGAAGATGAGGCAGTTAACATTCAATCTTAAGGTACCTTTTTTCTTTTGAGGAGATGGGGGTATGAGTCCCTGAGTTTATTTTTTTTCCTTCTAATTTTCTATGTGAATATATTTCTACCTTCTAATTGTCCAATTTTCTCGATGTTGTTCTATTTCCAGAACAATTCTTCCTTATCAAAAACATTCCAGAACAGCTCACTCTTAGCACGCCGTCTTCTGAATGGGGAGTTGGATCCCTCACGGATACTGAACATGTCCCCCAATGAGCTAAAGGTATGAGCACAGGGAAAATAATTTACTCAATTTGTCGATTAATTTTTGTTTTTCTCTTCATATGCAAATATCCTAAAATGCTAGAAATAATAGTCTGTTTGTGTTTTGTTGATTTCTGGATGGGGAAGGTCTTGCTTTGGTGGTCCTACTGACCGTTCTTGAATCCACCATGTGCAACCTAAATAGGTTTACCTGTAGTTCATGAAATCTAAGTATTGTTCAGGTGTGAATAAAGTAAAGCTGATTTAGGAAACCAAAATATGATTGAGCATTTTTCACAAATAAACACACACAATAAAGGAAAATCTGATGTCCCTTGAGACCTTTTGGGAATTAAATATTGGATTACTCACCCCCCAATCCCCCCACCCCACCCCCGTCCCCCCAAAAAAAGGAAAAAGAGCTAGGAGAATTCATACAAATGAAGAAGTTGAGCAATTACCTGTACACATTTTGGAATTTCATGGTCCTAAAATAAGCCAAAAGGGTGCTTGAAATGTGGAAGGTGTCTTCATTTCCTTCCCTGCAAGAAGAAACTAATTTAGGTTACGTAGAAGACTGTACAAACCTGCCTCATAGTTTGGTTTTGGTTTTAAGAATTTAAGAAAAGCAATTTCTTCTGCTTAATTTTCATTTCTTTTGGTGGATGGTTCATTATCCGCAATTGGCAAATACAAGATTGGCTTCTTGAGAAGAATGTCTGCCTTCTACGGAGATTATAAGTTATTAATCTTTCTCTGAAAACCTGTAGTTTCGTATTTCTGTTGTGGAATCTGAAAATTGTCCCAGCAGATTATGCTTTCCTTTATTTGATGTTATTCTCCATTTCTATCTCAGGAGGGTCTAACAGCAGAAGAGATAGCAAGCAGGGAGCCCGAAGAGCCGGAGCCCATACAGGTTTATACTATATTATTTTGTTCCTGAAGAAGCTTAGTTGCTATATTAAACAGTCATCTTCCTTTTCTCTTTGTATGGAGGAAGATGTTATGGCCTAGTTAATGAAGTTCATTCCAACAGACAAGAAAAATGTTAGGTGATCTTTTTTCATAAGTTTTGGTGGGCAAGGTTAACCGGTACCTGTGATGGTGGGAGATAGCAGATATCTGGTGGAGCAGTCGTGGTGCGTTCAAACTTGCTTGGACACCACTGGCAAAAGTTTATAGCCTAAGTAGGCATCTAAATGACTCAAGCGTTCAGCTCTGTTGGGCTTTAATACTAGATAAGTTTCAACATGAAACTGAGGTCGAGTTAATGGAGTAAATGAACTCCGGCTTCATTTTGAGCTCAATATTTGCTTATTTGAAAATCTTCAAGAAATTCAATAAAATTTGTGCTTATATACTATTATTACTGCTCGTCCGGTAGACATGATGGTATTCGTGAAGCTACTTTGAAGATTTAGTCTCATGATGAGCATGCACTCAGAATGTATTCAGTTGAAATTTTACAAATAGCTTCAGGGCAATAATGTGTTCTGTGGGAGATTTCGGTGAATACAATCTTCTTTCTGGAGAGGTCAAAGAACTGCATATGTCGATACAGATGGGGCCAAATTTTCGTGCACCTAGTAGGTGCTCCTTTTGGGTATTGACAATGTTGGTAATTTTTCGGCAATCAAGTCTTTAACCAGGATATAGTTTAACTAACCATAGCAAACTTTAGTTAGTAATTTGGTGATGGAGTTGGTCGTTGATTCTGATCACCAGCTACATGTATCCCTTAAGACTAAATGTGATCAAATATTTTTCCCGCATTCAGGGAGAACAGCTGCGCATGTTTTTGTTTTCTATAATGAAGTTGAATATATATCTCCACAAGGTAGGGGTAAGGCTGCATACACACTACCCTCCCCAGACCCCACTATGTGGGATTATAGTGGGTTTTTTGTTGTTGTTGTTGTTGTTGTTGTTAAGTTGAATATAGCTTCTCATTTCTCAATGTACTGAAAGCCTTTTAATTCAGAAGAATTATCTTTTCATGTTACACTAGGTTGTAGTAGTTGTAAAAAGAGTTTTAGAAATTTGGCCATGATTAACTGGCAAATTGATGTGATCATGTTATAAGACTGGGAAACATTTCATTTCGACATATCTTATTGCTTGTTTCTATTCTTTGTGTGACAGTCTGACAGATGACTGATGCTTCTTACAGGAAACTTCACAAAGGTTGAGTATGTTGTTTGTTGTTGCTCACTTCTAATTGGTTTGTGGCACAGATGACTGATGCTCGTTGCAAAAGATGCACAGAGAAAAAAGTGCGGCTCATGGAGATTATTCAGGCTGGACATGGAGACCGCTACCAGGTTTGTCCTTGCAGTTTTTTTCTGCTTGAGATAGACTTCTTCGTCGATACATCATGATGTTTCTCTTTGGATATTTCTTGTCCTCTCTTATTATTATTCATTTTCTTTTGGGGGAGGGGGTGGAGAGCTGCGTATTATGTTAGCAATTCTTTGCCGCACCCGAAACTTCAAATAGTTGATTGGATTTTGATTATATGTTGATAGTGGCGGGGAAGATATTTAATATTATGTTCGATGTTGTGACCGTAAGTGATCTCTTATTGAATTCTTTTCTGTTCTCGGGGTAAAGCTAATTTCCCATGTCATGATTGCCATTACACTGAACTATCATGCAAGATGTTGAAGGGAATTACCTTGCATAAGGACCTTTTTGCCAGTCATGTCTTTTAAATTTTATGTAGTCACTTTGGAGTTTCTTGTATTTAAGAAACAAAAAAAAAAAAAAAAACAGATTGAATATGGTGTAAGCGCCATTGGGCAACTTTTCTAATATAATCCATGTACTTTTTAGCCGTGTCATCTTCGATCTTCCTCGAATACTTTGGTTGCTGCACTGACTGCCTCTTGTTTCTGTGTTATTTATTATTTGGTTATCTCAGCTGGAGTGTATTGCTTGTGGCAATACTTGGTATGCTTCTAGAGATGAAGCTGCTAGCCTAACAATAGATGGGCCAAATTTTACGAAGAGTGTAGGAACAGAACCGTTAGCAACTGCCAAGTTCGAAGACGTGGAGAAGAATTTAACAAGCCCTCGAAGAGCTGATAAAGGAGCTAGTGATGTTCTGAAGAAGACAACTGAAGCTTACATGCCAGTTCTTGACAGCCAGAGATCATTTAACAAGTCTAGGACTGAAGATAACACTACCACTAGCAATGCTGACTGACTCTTCTGTTAGTTTTTTATCACTTTAGACATAACCATTTCCTGTAAATAGATACAGTACATACCCATAGTTTTTCGAACAGTTCTTTTTAAAGTATATTTACTCGATAGTGGTTGGTGTATACTTGGGGGTAGTAGAAAAATTTTGTAGTCTAAACAGATTCAATTGTGACAACTTGGTATGAATTGTTCTGTTTCCAAGGACTGTACAATCTGCACTGTTGCAAGTGTAGGGTAAGGTTGATTTGTGTAATCTTACTATATAGTTTCAGCTTTTTTCACCTAAAAGTGAGGTCATTTATGTTTGAGTGTATTTTCTGTTCGCGTGGCATAGCAGCTGCCTTTACGTGCCTTACTGACTTGGTCCATCTTTTGAACATGCATTCATGCAATCTACCAGAACGTGCAATCAAGGAACGTATAGGAAAAATAGACGAATTGGGAAGGAATCTTTATCTATAGACTATAGGTGATGGCAGCTGCGTACTCACCAACGTTGAGAAGTCTGACCTATCCATAATTTTTCTTGACTTAACAAGTTGATTGTCCTTGGAATTTTTCAGATATAGGTAAATAGTGTTAAGTAAAGTCTAATTGAGTAGCAGTAGTTAGAAGGCGAGATTAATTTCTGATATTAAGTTATAAATTTTGGTCTTGTTAATAATGATGGTTCACAAGGCACGAATGTTATTGTAACTATCGTAGGGGAGATGAAATTTCAGACAAGATATTGAGAAGTGCTACTCCACAACAATTAATCTCACAAATGAGGTTTGGGAGAGTTACGTGTCCGCAGACCTTATCTTTACCTTGTGAAAGCAGGAAAGTTGTTGTGTGTACGTAGACCTTACCCCTACCTTATGAAGGTAGAAGGGGCTGTTGCTGAAATACCCTCGGCTCAAGAACATTAAAAATGAAGCAATAGAGAAACAATACCAACAACAAGATAATGAGACAATGGAAACAAATAAAACAATGAGTAATGATAGAGATCTAGGGTCACGAAACTACAAGATAGAGCCAATCCTACTTCTAATAATGACACACCATTTAAAAACTAAGGGACTTGTACAGGCCCAAGAAAAGGAAAAAAGAAGAAGTGCTACTCTGTCTGTCCATTTCTTTCCTCAATTCTTACCATTTTATCATGTCTCCTTACAGAATGATTTTTTTAAACTTCAAAATAATTTAATTATAATTTTTTAAATTTTATTCTTAATAACATACTTAGCCACAGAAATTTATAATACATGTTTTAAATAACAAGTTCTAAAAGTTCTTTTATAATTTGTGCTTCAATCAAACACGTAATAAAGTGGGATAAGTGTTTTTAGTATAAGGTTAGTGATGTCAATTTGAGTAAGAATAGTGAGTCGGCGGGTCATATGATACTTTGATTTCGATTTGACCGACCATTTTCAGATCCCTTCCTCCCGCCTGAAACCATATCACATGTACCCTAGAATTTACTCTTTTCTCCTTGCTCTTGCCCTCAACCCTCTGACTTTCTTTGACAAAATTACCCTCACACATTTTTCAAAGATCAATAACACAAGGAAACCTAGAGACTAGGAAAAAAAAGGGTTAAGAAGGAAAAAGGAAAATATTACATGTCTGGTCAATGAAGTGGACTGAGAACAATTAGGCTTCGGTCTTTCAAATTCAAATCTCAGTAGAGCAAAAATACTACATGATTTTTTCTTATTTGTTCAAGTAATGGTAGATAAAGTTAACTATTAAAGTTAACCGTTACTTGTGCTGACGAGAATATCAAGTACACATAAAATTAGTTGATGTGCGTATAAGCTGACCCGAACACCATAACTATTATAATGAAAGAAAAGGAAAATACTGAAATTAATGATAAAGAGAAAGACATTAGTTGCTATTAATAGGAAGAGAAAGTTTTTACGGCAAGGTAGAGGAGCATTATTATTTCATCAATCCATACTTGGTAATGAAGTATACTGGAACCACACTTATAATTTGTATACAACTAACTATTTGAATTATTTTACCAAACCAAGTAGATACACTTTTGACTTAAGATTTCAGAGAAACAATTATCAAATAACCTTATATTATTTTATTTAATTTTTCTTTTCCATACCATAGTATAGTATAGTAGTTTAGATATAGAAAGGCTGAATTTAAGAAAATTCAACCAAATTAGTAAACTAATAAAACACTTGAGCTACTATAGAGATTACCCATTTGTAGAACAATAAATGGTTCCATTATCCACCAAAGTACTTCCCAACCAAATCTTTACCAGTTTACCTGCAGTTGTCCCTGTCCCCATTAAAGTTTTTTTGCTGGAAATCCATTTTAAAATTTCCAGTCCATTTTATGGTTGATAGTGAAGTGAATGAATTGCTCAAAAAGTAAATTATATCATTTTAATAATTAATAATAATTGATAGTGACTTAGACTTTCGATGTTATAATATGGTGCTCTCCGTGTGACCTATAAGTAAAGTTGAACGGGTGTGAAGAGGAGTCTTGGAGCAACAGTAAAGTTGTCTCTGTGTGATTAATAGGTCACAGATTCGAGCCGTGGAATCAGCCACCGATACTTATATCAGGATAGGCTGCTATATCACACCCCTTGAGGTGCGACTCTTCCCTGATCCTACATGAATACGTGATGCTTTGTGCACCGAGTTATCCACGAAGAACCAAAATTTCAAGCCCAATTACACAATAAACTAGTGAAAATAGCACGGGCTAGCCAGTTTTCGGGCTGGTAATTGAAAAATAGCTAGCGCTTGTAAAGTCATTAAAAAATAGCCACTATTTTGCTGAAACATCGAAAGTTTTTAGCATAGTATGCATAATTATGGAATTCATGCGGATAAACTTCTAGCATATTATGTTGGAACTCCAACATATGAAAAATTCCAGCATAATATGCTGGATTATGGAGCTCATGCATATAAACTTCCCGCATATTATGTTGATTCTACAATGAAATTGCAGCACATTATACTTGAAGCTCATATGTAAAAGATTCGACCTCCAGCATATTATGTTGGAATATTTTCGAATTTTTAAGGATATTTTTGTTCAGATTTTATCTTTACATGAAAAAGTGACTAAATTTCGATTATTTTTGAAATTGTGGCTATTTTTTAATTACCAATTGTAAATATGACTATTTTTTTATTTTTTTCCAATAAACTACAATTACTACCGTCAAGTTCTATACCTTAAATCTATCTTTTACCATGGACAAAGATGGTTTCTAACTATACTTACTATTCTAGAACAATGACAACCTAATATAATTTTCTCTTCCAAATCAAAACTATATGTCATTCATATATTCAAGCTGATTTTTTCTATGCTATTTTTGGTCAATGATATCTTGTTAAATCAGTCTAATATATGTAACAACACAATTTCAAATGACAAATTTACCAACTTGGGGTACATGTTTTTTTTATTTTTATTGAGGGGCAAACTTGTCAAAATATATGCAAGAATCAAGGGTCATAATGTAATTGCATCTTTGGAGGGATCTGAAATCTATTACATTCAATTCACCATATAAAAAAAGATTATTATAAATTGGGAATCAGTAATCACCTTGATCATAAGAATCCTGTCCCATATTATATTTGGACAAAATTATTTAATTATTACAGCAAGAAAGAGCCAAGAGAAAACAGTATCTGCTATTCCCAATAAAATAACATAAGATATTAAAATCCTTGTGCAGTGATTCCTCCAATTAATAATTGGTCTGTCCCCTCCTTGTTTTACCAAGATTAACCTTCAATCAAGATTCATTAATCCTTTTTCCAAGGTTATTTTTGGAATTCACTATCTTGAATGTGCCTAAAACAGTGTCCTAAAAAGTAAACATTGAAAAAAGTGAAAGAAAGGCCACACACTACAACAAAGAAAAACCAAAGCTAGAGGCAAACTATAGAAAACAACAATAACAATTGAGTATAATTCAGTAGGATCCGGAGAGTATAGTGTATATACAGACTTTACTTTTACCCCGAGGGTATAGAAATTATCTCCATAGACACTCGACACAAGAAAATAAAATAAGACAATAGTATAGTAACGATAATATACACCAGAAAAATAGTACCAGTGAGCCGAGAATAAGAAAATACATCGAAAAAGGCAAACCTTAGAAACATAGAGTAAAAACACAGCATGAAAGCATATGATGATGAGTCAAAGTTAGCTTTTTTTTTAGTGGACATATAGAGCAGCTTGGCAGCTCTTTTGTCTCTCACCCCTCTTCTTCTTCCTACTGTGTGTGTGAGAGAGAGAGAGAGAGAGAGAGAAAGAGAAGAGAGTGTGTGAGTTTCACTCAGTACATTTGATACCCCACTACCCCTTTTACTCAACCAGTCTCTATCTCTATAAGGCATGCTTTCTCTTTTATTAATTTTTGTTTTGTTTTGTTGTGTTCATATTTCATTTACTCATTATATGGTCTAACTTTTGGTGGGTAGGTGTTAATTCTTGTTATTTTTAAGCCCATGTACTTTTCTTGATTTTAAGTACAAGAAACTGAATACTCTTTAAGACATGCAGTTTGGTTTGGTATCTTTTCTTTTACACTTTTGGAGAATATGAATATGAAATGTGTTTTCTTGGATGAGACTTTAAGCTCAAGATATTGTAAGAAATGATTGCAATTTGTTGGGTTTTTTCTTTGGCTTCAATTCTCTAAGATTAAGTGGGGTATGTTAAATGGTAATGGACTGTTTTCAAGAGCAGTTGTTCCTTTTATTTACTTTAGATGCAAGTGTTTTAAGATGTGTTTTTACAATAAATTAGGGGCTTCTTAGTTAAGTGGGGTTGTGGGATTTCTTTGTTTTGTTACATTGGTTTTAGTTAATTGGAACAAAGTTAGTTCCTTTTTTTCTGTTTTCAAGTATCATTAGGTCATTTGCATTTGTGCATTTGCTAGAAATGAAAGATTAGTTCTTCAAATTGCTTATCTAAGGGTAGGAAAGTTAAGGTTCTTTGGTTGAAGTTCATTATTTGCTCAGCCATCTTTTTCTCAATTTGAAGAAATGGGTATGACATTTCTATTTTTTTTCTCCATATCTTCAGGTTTGCATGTGAAGACATTGTTGTTCCTTAGTTTTGAGTTCTTCTCTTAGATCTAGTTGTTTGCTTAATTTCTGAACCTTTTGTTTTAATGAGGGCATAATGGCATATGCCGAGGTTCTTTCGTAAACGGCCTCTCTACCTCCCGGGTGGGGGTAAGGTCTGTGTACACACTACCCTCCCTAGACCCCACTTGTGGGATTTTA